TAAATTCTACTTGCTTTGATCTTCATAAATAATTATCTAGATCAACGTATTAAAATATTACCTAAGATTATCCTGATCTAGCTTAAATCTGTATTTCATGATTTGCAGGTAATGAAACAGGATTTATTTTATTTGGTGTGAAAATAAGGCTTAAAATAAACACAAATGGGCTAGGTTTGTGATAACCAGTATAATGCACAGAACAATTGTTTGGGTTTTTAAGGTATAATACTGACCTATCCCGTATAAGCTTCCACAAGTTGGATTATGTGTAATTAACCTTTCCTCTTCATATTTTTTCCTTTTCATTTTTTTTTTTTTTTTTCACATAAGCCGTATTGTTAACTCTGGGCATTCAAAATGGTGACATAAAAAATTTGCCTATTAGGTGTGTTTGTGTGATAACATATAAATAATTTATTAAAAAGTGTAATAGTAATCCTTACGATAATAATTTGCTATATTCTAAACTTAGATGTATTTTTTTCAGATTTTTTCCTGAGTTTCTTTTGGTGAGTTAGATTTACAAGCTCATCTTTAGACCTTTGGCAACTATACACAATTATACACAAAATTCTCTTTTCTCTCAAACGATGAAAAACCCAAACTCTATTTTTTTCTTCATTAATCTTCCTCTTGATTGCATAATCTCTCATTACTTTTTCCAGTTTTGTTATAATTCCCTTTTTTTCATAATCCTTCCGACTGTAGTACAATTAGTAAACCTAATGTTGCGCAGTTTAATTACAATGCCTTCTCTCCTAAACACATACATGTAACAGAAAACGTGAAAAGTGATCACACATAAAGAGACAAACTTTAATAATAAATAAAAGAAAAAAAATAATAATAAAATAAAAACTAGTACACGATAATCTCACAAAAACAAATGCGTAAATGATGAATACATTATATATTTCTTAATCATCATTATCTCTACAACATGCACGACGCTGCAATATCAACATTATTGTAGCACATACGAAAATATCTGGAACTCTTTAATCTATTACATTATATAATACAGATAGATTACAACATGATAGTTATTCCATTTCTATAAGGGAGATACACTGACAGTAATTCAGAATAGGTGTATTTTTTCCGACTTACAGTATGAGTCGGATTACATAATTACTGCGGTTGATAATGTCACTGGTATCTGCTTACCAGATCAACAAACAAAAAAAAAAAAAACTAAATTTCATATATGTTCTTTAAAAAGAATTACACGATGGCGTACAGCGGGGAGGAAAAACGTTTATTATATAAAATCTTGTTTTGATCTCTTTATCAAAGTAAAGTTTCCCCGATTTCTAAGTTCCAAAAACATCGCCTCAGGGACTGCAAGAACTGACGTCATTTCGAAATGCCAAAGTGAGTTACGTAATGTTCCTGGCATTCAGCAGCGCTTTCATTTTTAAAATGTTTGTTTTTTCTTGATGTAGGCATTTTTCTCTAAATCATTCGGAGTCTCCTTCCTTTTAGTTATTCATTTTCATTGGTTTATCTTTCTTCCTTTCCTTTCATAGAAAATGTTAAGCTTTTTGTGATCCCATTTTCTTTAGACTATAAAAATATCAAAGAAAATGTAAAAAATAATCAAGACAGGACACACTGCCGAAAATGAGTTCCCAGATGTCGTAAGGACCTCGTCCGCGGGGTCAACGACCTTTCAACGTCAGTCGCACTCGCAGAGGAAAACCCACATCATGACAGTTGACACACAAGGACGAGTGTCATTCGCTTTTCCTCAGTTTTCGTAAGCGTTCGTGAGAATCAGATTTAACTGTTCTTTTAAATTCTGTGTCTTTGGTCAGGAAAAGTATATTTTCTACAGCTATCGAAAGGCGGATGTAGAGAGATCGCCTTTACCTGTGGAAGGGAAAAGGGCGACTCGTATCTGCTAGCCTTTCAGAGCTGGTCCTTTGATTCACTGGAGGTTCTTTTTACGCGCATGTTTTTTTTCACTTTTATTACTCCCTTTTTTTAGCCAAGCACATCTCATCTTTTCGTCTGAACAAACCGAAAAACACATTTTTTTTTTCCAAAGAAGACACTTAGAACACTTCACGAGGTCGTAGAGGGAAGAGGAGTCAGAGGGGAGGAACGGCAGTCGGGAGCGATGGGGGAAGAGGAGTCAGTGGGCGTAAGAGGTAAAGAAACAACGATAAGGCATTGGGAATGAAAGTATAGACGACAAGGAGGGCAAAAAAAAAGAAGAAAAAAACAGGAATAACTAAAGATATCCAAAGGAGATCACATGGTTAAGACGAGAGACGAAGGAATCTCGATCTGTCTCCTAAAGGGCGACACACACGTCCCAGAACGTCGAAGGGTTGTCCTCAGAGCAATCCATGGCGGGCGAGTTGGTTTTCCTCCTCGTCCTCAGCCACGGGTCAGGTCCAGGGGATGATCGTGACGTAATCAGGGCTGACGTAGATCTTCAGGTCCAGGATGTCGTACTGCAAGTCTTGGATTCTCTCGCGCTTCGGTGTGCCTGGCAGCGGGGAGAGAGGGAACGCGGTGAGAGATAGGCATTGAGAGGGTTGGTGTTTTGTGTGTGTGTGTGTGTGTGTGTGTGGTGTGTGTGTGTGTGTGTGTGTGTGTGTGTGTGTGTGTGTGAGAGAGAGAGAGAGAGAGAGAGAGTAAAGATACACGTAAAAGCAATGTTCAGTTTGTCCGTGCATGTAGATGGGAGGGAGAAGAAAAAATTACTTATATGTATGTGTATATACGACGGTGTAATTATCCAGAGATGTAAGGAATGTTTCGTATCTGTGTATGTTTGTGTAGCAGATAAAAAAATGTTTGTCTTAATGAGTGTGCAGTGTACGCAAGGGCCGTTTTGTCAGTGCGTGCGTGCGTGCGCATACAGGGGAGGAAGAAAAAGTTTGTGTGTATTCGGTCCACAATTATGAGAATGTAAAGTGTACATTCTGTGTGCGTCTGTGTGTAGGAGAGACAGAGTGAGGATTTATAAATGCAGATGTGTGTGTGCGTGTGCTCGCGTCCGTGTATGCGTGTACTCGCATCCGTGTGTGCGTGTGTTCGTCGTGTGTGCGTGTGTTCGTCGCGTGTGTTGCGTCCGTGTGTGCGTGTGTTCGCGTCCGTGTGTGCGTGTGTTCGCGTCCGTGTGTGCGTGTGTTCGCGTCCGTGTGTGCGTGTGTTCGCGTCCGTGTGTGCGTGTACCGTTGTACTTCCGCGTGCACAAGGGAAAAGGGAACCACGCATTAACTTTGATTAAAAAGTGTTATCAAAGGTAAACCTGACGTTAATAATTCCCGGTTATTATAGAATCAAAGAATTTCTAATCTTCTCTTTCAGAAAACCAATATAATTATGGCGGCAAATTACGTATAATCGACGCAGTGATTATGATCTTATAGATATTGACTTACATATATACATACATAAAAGCATATATCCATGTGCGTGTGTGTGTCCTTCCCTCTCCTTCTTTCTCTTTCCTTCTCCTTCCTTCTCTTTCCTTCTCCTTCCCTCTATTTTCCTCTCCTTCCTTCTCTTTCCTTCTCCTTCCCTCTCCTTCCCTCTCCTTCCTTCTCTTTCCTTCTCCTTCCCTCTCCTTCCCTCTCCTTCCTTCTCCCTAATCTGCTCCTCCTTCCTTCTCCTTCCTTCTCCTTCCCTCTCCTTCCCACTCCTTCCCTCCCCTTCCTTTCCTTCCTTCTCTTTCCTTCTCCTTCCTTCTTCCCTCCCTTTCCTTTCCTTCTTTCCCCTTCCCTCTCCTTCCCTCTCCCTATCTACTCCTTACCCTAACGCATTCCTTCTCTTTTTCCTTCACGTCTCCTTCTCCTGCCCCTCCCCCCTCCAATTCCTCCTTCCTCCCCCTCTCCCCTCCTTCGCTCCTTCCAAGTTGCTGTTGAATGACCTTGAATGTATCGATGCAAAGGAAGAAGAAATGAGTGTTGTGTCTGGAGGTCGATGTCTTATTCTCTCTTCCTCTCTCTCCTTCTATCTGTCTATCTGTCTCTTCTCTCTATCTGTCTGTCTGTCTGTTTGTCTCTCTCTCTCTCTCTCTCTCTCCCTTTCTCTCTCTCTCTCTCTCTCTCTCTCTCTCTCTCTCTCTCTCTCTCTCTCTCTCTCTCTCTCTCTCTCTCTCTCTCTCTCTCTCTCTCTCTCTCTCTCTCTCTATGTGTGAGTGTGTGTGTCTATATACCTTTTCTCTCTATCTATCTATCTATTATTTATCTATCTATCTGTCTGTCTCTTTCTCTCTCGTTTCTCTCTCTCTCTCTCTCTCTCTCTCTCTCTCTCTCTCTCTCTCTCTCTCTCTCTCTCTCTCTCTCTCTCTCTCTCTCTCTCTCTCTCTCTCTCTCTCTCTCTCTTTGTCTTTCCCCAACTCAATCACTCGGATATAATGATATCAATTGTCCCTCAGTAATATTAGATGCACCCAACCAATCCATTCTTTTTCTTCTTCTCTCCTCTTCTCCTCTCTCTCTCTCTCTCTCTCTCTCTCTCTCTCTCTCTCTCTCTCTCTCTCTCTCTCTCTCTCTCTCCTCTCTCTCTCTCTCTCTCTCTCTCTCTCTCTCTCTCTCTCCTCTTCTCTCTCTTCTCTTTCTTTCTTTCTTTCTTCTCTTTCTCTCTCTTTCTCTCTCTCTCTCTCTCCCCTCTCTCTCTCTCTCTCTCTCTCTCTCTCTCTCTCTCTCTCTCTCTCTCTCTCTCTCTCTCTCTCTCTCTCTCTCTGGTAGAGCTTTGCTTTATTGAAAATTTTCTTTTTTTTTTCTTTTTCTTTTTTTCTTTGATAGCAATTCCAGGAGAGAAAGAGGAGGGGAAGTGGAGGGGATTGAGAGGAAAGGAGTGCAAATATTTGAGTAAAAAAAAAGAAAGTAATAAAACAGAAAGGAGAAGAGGAGGGTCAGGAAGAATGAATAATGAGCTTGCAATATATGAATAAAAAATGAAAGAGTGGAGGAATGCAGAGGGAGGGAGGATGAAAGAGTGAGGCGAGAGGGAAAAGCAAAGAGGGGGCATAGAGAGAGGAGGAAAGATTTAAAAAGAGGAAGGGGAGGGATGGAAAAAAGAGGGAAGGCGGGGGTGGAGAGAGGGAAAAAAGAGGGAGAGGGAGGGAGAAAGAGAGAGAGAGAGCGAGGGAAGAATAGGAGAGAGAGAGAGGGTGGAGAAGATGGAGGGTGAGAGAGATAGGGATAGGGAGAGAGAAGGAACAGGAGCGAGAGAGAGAGAGAGAGAAGAGAGGGGGGGGAGGGAGGCAAGAGAGTAGGAAGGAAGAGAGAGGAGAGAGGAAGAGGATTGGAGGGAGGGAGGGCGAGAATGAAGGAAATATATGAGAGAGAGAGAAGAGAATGAGTGCGTGAGTGAGAAAGAGAAAGGGGGTGTGGCTTAGAGAGAGAGAGAACATAAGTGTGAGAGAGAAAAGAAGAGAGAGAGAGAGACACACAGACACGCACACACACAACACACAAACACACACACACACACACACACACACACACACACACACCACACACAACACACACAGAAAGAGAAAGAGATAGAAAGGAGGGAGGGAGGGAGAGAAAGAGAGAGAAAGTAGACATAAAATAAAACAAAACAACAGAAAACATGCATAGCATGAAAAATGTTTATAAAACTGAAAGACATGGGTTTAAGGAAGAAACAATAAACAATAATCAAGAAAAGAAAATTTAAAGGAAACAGAGAAGAGAGAGAGAGAGGAGAGAGAGAGAGAGATAAATAAATAGAGAGAGAGAGAGAGAAAGCAGACTGACATTAAGAGAGAAAAAAACATACAACCAAAAAGGACATGCAGAGATTTTTTTTTTTTTTTTTTTTTAAGAAATGAAAAGAACTTCGAACTAACGAATAAACAAGAAACAAAACCACAAACAAAAAAAAAAAATGATGAAAAAAATTAGTTCCACACAAAGAAGCCCTCATCTTCTCCTATTGACATCACGCCATAAGGGTGTCTTTGGCGTGGCGACAGTGACCCTGACGTTCACTTGGTCAATATTCTTACAGTTCAACGGAGGCTCTTATGATTCTTCTTTTATCAGTCGAGGACATTGATTATTGGGCTTCAAGGACGACCGGTGTATTGCAAAAGGGGGGGGGGGGAGGGAGGTGGGGTGGAGGGGGATGGGGAGTGGAGGGGGGGTGGGAAGTGGAGGGGTGGGGAAGAGAGGGGGAAGGGGAGGTGGAGTGGAGGGGGAGGGGGGAGTGAAAAGGGGAGGGTGGGGGTGGAAGGGGAGGGTGGAGGTGGAAGTGGAGAGGGAGGTAGAAGTGGAAGGGGGAGGTGGAGGAGGAAGTGTAGGTGGAGGGGAGGTGGGAGTAGACGTGGAAGGGGAGGTGGCAGTGGAGTGGGAGTTGGGAATGAGGGGGTAGAAGTGGAAGGGGGAGGTGGAAGTGGGGGAGAAGTGAAAGTGGAGGAGGAGTGGAAGTGGAGGGGAGGGGGAGGTGGATGAGGAGGAAGGAGTGGATGGGGAGGGGGAGGTGGAAGTGAAGGGGAAGGGGAAGGCGGAGGGGGAGGCCGGAGTGGAGGGGGAAGGGGGAAGCTGAGGGAGGGGTGCAAGTGGAGGGAAGGGTGGATGGGGCGGGGAGAGGTGGAGTGGAAGTGGAGGTCGTCGGAGTGGAGGGGGAGGGAAAAGCAGGGAGGGGGGTGGGAAGTGGAGGGGGGAGGAGGAAATGGAGGGAGGGGTGCAAGTGAAGGGAATGGTGCCAGGGGAGGGGGGAAGGAAGAGGTTGGAAGCGGAGGAAAGGGTGGAAGCGGAGGGAGAAGTGGAAGTGAAGGGACAAGTGGAAGTGGAAAAAGGGGATGAAATGGAGGAAGAACTGGTAGTGGAGGATGAGGTTAAGGAAGAGTTGAGGGATGTGGAGAATTAACATAAGGCTGAAGTGGAGGAGGGAAGAAGTGATGTGGAAATAAAAGCTAAAAAAAGAACAAAAAGGTAACTGATATAAAACAAAACCAATGAAGAAAAAATAATAATAATAATAATAATAATAATAATAAAAAAGAATAATAAATAATATAAACAAATACAACGAACTTTAAAAAAAACAGACAAACACATCATAAAACAAAACAAAAAATACACACCAAAGCACAAAAAGAAACAGAAGTAAGAAAAAAAAAAAAAACACAGACAACATGGTCATCCAGCGAAGCCATGCCCGACCAGGTGTCCGAATAGGCCGCCGTGGATTCGTTATCAAATTATTATCGGCTTCAAACGTTACGATCGAACGCGAGTCATCGTACCTTCGCTTCAGATGCCAAGGAATAATAAGCCTTGATAAGGTCCTTGAGGTAATCAGAAAGGTAATTGAGTCTGTCGAAGAGATGAGAGGGGTTGAAGGAAGGTAAATCGGGTCTTCAGGAAGAGAGAGAGAGGAGAGAGAGAGGGAGAGGGAGGGAGGGAAGGGAGGGAGGGAGGAGGGAGGGAGGGAGGGAGGGAGGGAGGGAGGGAGGAGGGAGGGAGGGGGGAGAGAGAGAGAGAGAGAGCGAGAGAGAGAGCG